TTAGAAGATTATTACCTGATTTACTTCCACTTCTCTTTCAGGATGGACTACTCCGTTCGTCATCTTCCTCACTTTCACTTTTGCCCAAAAAATGCCGAGAACGACGTTGTTCACTTCATCTTAATCTCCTCAAAGCCAGTCGTCGTCCAGTTTTGGGATATATTTCACCATCGCTTCGTTCTTATTGAGGTCATTGTTTTCCCACTTTCTTTCTTTCGTCGAGTCATCACTTCCTTCCTGTTGGTCTCGTGCGGGGAGTGAAAGTCAAGTCAAATCAACAGCATTACTGCGAAAAAGAGAGAAGAGAGAGCAATATTTCCGCTTTATTCGCCTCGTCCACTTTTATTTTACGAGCGGATTCGAATAGACACATTTTTCCTACTTTCACCTCATCAAGAACGGGTAGAAACGGAGAAAGTGGGGAATCGGACTTATTTTATTGATGTTTATACTTCGGCGAGGAAAAGGGAACGAGATTAATTTTTCGAGGGATGCGTAACAAGTAAATTTACCAAATTTCGTGAAGAATTTTGCTGGAAAATTGTGCGATTTTTTGTTCACAATTTAGCCAGCAGAAATGATTCTTTTTAATTCGTAAAGTTGCTTTTCGCATACTAACTGGTAAATAAAGTTACATTTGTTTCAATGTTCAAAGGAGGTGTAAACCACCATTGGATCTGAACTATCTAAATTATATTCGTTGGAAATTTAATTTTTACATATTTGGCGTTGGGATGTGCAAATTATTGTCGGCTATTTGAGAAGAAAAACTGACAAACGCCAAATGTGTAAAAATTAAATTTCCAGCGAATATAAGTTGATTCAGATCCAATGATAGATACCTGAAACTGTTACTTGTGAGTAACAAAAAAACTGACAAACGCCAAATGTGTAAAAATTAAATTTCCAGCGAATATAAGTTGATTCAGATCCAATGATAGATACCTGAAACTGTTACTTGTGAGTAACAAAAATATGCGATTTTCCTCTTGTGAGAAAAATGTCTGCAATTAATATTTCTTTATTGGCAGATTTCTTGTTTTGCGAAGTCGAAAAGTAAATACGAATTTGGAAACGATAAAATGCAAAATCCACAAATTAACTCCATAAATCCACAAATTTCACAAAATATAGTATACGAAGATCAAGTTTGCGAACTAAAAATAAACTCCTGTGATAAATTGTGAACAAAAAATCGCACAATTTTCCAGCAAAATTCTTCGCGAATGTTGGAAAATTTCTGCATATTAAAACAATAAATAATTTGGTATTTAAATGTTGTGCACCAGGAAAAACCTGTACAAGTTTGTCCACCAAAAGCTAACAATAATTTCCAACCGATTCGAAATTGCTACCGCATTTTGTTCAATTTCTAACACATTACGTGTCAAATTTAAGATTCGCAGAAATTACCTTTTTCAGTGGTAATTCTTTGCAAATGTAGTCGAGCCTTAGATTTTACTAAACGCGGTGATAATTTTGTTACCAACTTGTTTTGAGCGAGGGACAAAGATAAAGGAGTAAAAATACTTTTATTAAAGTATTTTTACTCCTACGGTTCCCTCGTCTCGTGGTCAGTTAGGTGTGTCCATTATTAGAAATAAGAAAGGAAAAATTTCCAACCAGACACGTAGATAAATTGCGAACAAAGTTTTTTTCTTGGGAAATAGAGGAAATTTTCAAGGATGCAGTTTTGAGGGATTGTTGAAAGGGACCTATTTTCTGTCCTGGAAATCAATCGGGATCAGGGAGGAGAAAGTTTAGAGCGAAAGTTGATTGCTTTTGGCCACACGAGGGACCAGATGTCAATTTCGTCTGTGGGTCCTGTAAAAGTTTCTGCTCAATGAGACAATATCTTTTTGCTGGGATGAAAAAATGCTCGACTCTATATTTGAATTTTGCGATGAAAAATGGAAAGGTGGATTTTTTATAAACTTCTTAACAAACAATTTGAAAGAATTGCTGGAAAAGTTTGAAAGTACAATATTACACAAAATTTACAACGAATTTACCAAGAAATTGTTTAAATGTTAATATAAAAATTGTTCCAAAATTGATAATTGAAGAATGTTTTTCAGATGAGTTGGAACTTTTTTTCAATTCGTGAATTTTGCATTTGAATCTTAAAATTACGTTTATTTTTTTGTGTTGCCGGAACGTATAATTCATTAATAGGAGCTCTCAAGGCTCAAAAAACGAGCGAAATGAGCAATGAGCAGAAAAATAAAAAATCAGATTTTTCTGCTCAATCCTTGAACGTACCACTTGTTTTATCCATCATGATTCTTGAGAATCGTGATCTTTATTTTTGGGAAGTTCAATTATTTGTTTATCATTTTCATGGTTCTAAATTCAGTTTTATAATTCACAAAAATGCCGAAAATAACTGAACGTCAAGAGATATTAGAATTTTTATCATTATGTGGTCTTAACACGGCTTTTAACGGGTTTCAACAACAAACCCAAGACATTTTCAAAATGTTAGAATTCGTCGGCGCGTGTCGATATCTGGATGAACGCAAGGCTGTACCAAAAAGCATGCACTGGATACAGTTCTTCCAAATTTGCAACGCTACGTTTTTTACGACAAATTACAGGATTTGCAACACTGGTGCTCTTAACCTTGGTCTTGGGACCCATAATGATAAAGAATGTGTTTTAGAAAACTTTGCTTAATTTTTAAATGAAAAATTTAAGTAAACAAACAGCTGATGTGCTAATGTGGAGCAGAATGAGCAGGATTATGAGAGAGAAAATCAACCCAAAACTTGATTTTTTTGTTGAGCAAGAAAATCTGATTTTGAGCAAAATCGCATGCGCACAGCCGAGCAGAAAAGATCAGAATGAGCGATGAGCATAAAAATCTGATCTTTTTTAGAGCTTTGAGAGGACCTAATATAAATGAGGAAAGTGTTCGAATGAAAATTGCAGACATGTTTAGCACAGATGAAAAATATACTATGTGAAATGCACAACAATGATACCAATTTTAGTAAAAAAAAAATATAAATATATAATCTCAACGAGTCGAGATTCCATTTTTAGATAAGCTTTATGCTTTCTGACATGAACTTCCCATTGTTGAAAATATACTAATTTAAGGTAGAATTAACAGATAAATATACAAATTTTTCGTAAACTCGGCCAAATATAGCACTGAAAAATTCTAATTTTTGCAAACTAACTATTTCTAAAAACGCTGTGGCATTATTACGCCAGACTTTGGAATTATAAAAATATTGAATACTTACTAATCGAAGATCGTCCTTTTACTTCATCTTCACTAACAAATGTAAATAGCATTCATATCCAAAATTTTTAAAATAAACAATTTTACAAAATACCTCACCTTATTCTATCTTTATTACAAGTCCACATACTAGTAATTATGTAATCTAGTAATCTAGTAATCTGCACACTCTAAATAAATTTGATTAAAATTTACTCCATTCTGAGTAAAATTTCCACCAAAGCAACTATTGAGTAAAATTTACCCTGACAAAGGTAAAATTTACTCAAGGTTGAAAGACTTTTGCTCAACCTTGAGTAAATTTTACCTTTGTCAGGGTAAATTTTACTCAATAGTTGCTTGGGTGGCAGTTTTACTCAACTTTATTTACAGTACAAGTTCCCAGAAAAGTGTTTCCATTAAAACAACCTGCCAACTCGTAGTGAATACCCCGAATGTCCACCTTGTAGCATTTGTGCGCAGAAGAAATAAATCATGGTCAGATATCCCATGGAGAAGGTCGAGTATAACTAATTTTCTCTGATATTTGTGCTCCTTGATGTGACGCATTGATTTATTTATTTGCAATCGTTACCATGTTGTTGTCCTGTGGTGAAAGCAGTCCAGTCAATTTTTGGGTGAGTGGAAAGAAAACCAAAATGCCGGGGGTTTGCTGAAAGGAGAAAGATACACAACAGGAGGGAAAGAGAGAGAAGGGGTGAAGGCAATCCAGTCATATATTTTGGATGGAGAAAGTCAAAGAGAAAATTTACTTGTTATTCACTACAAACATGGGGCAGGGTTTGGAAGAAAACAATTTTTATGGAAACTCAATTTTGCAAGGAATTTTATTCGATTAGTTTAAAGAAATTGTTAGAGATTCGTAAAGATAATAATTATTTGTTAGGGTTTGGTCTCTATTATGCGATTCTTTAAAGGTTTTAGTGGGTTAATCAATTACAAGGTTTTGTAATTATTTTACTTTTATTCTTTTGTGCTTTCATGTTTTAACGTAACGTATTTGTTTTAGTTGCACTAATTTCTTATCGAAATAACTATTTCGGAATGTTTAACAAAAGATTTAATGGGATACATAAACAACAGAGAGGACAAAGTCAGTTCATTACGAACATTATGAATTGAAAAAAATCTATCCATTTTCGTGGCAGGGGTTGGACGGAAATAATTTGCATTTAAAAAAACTTCGACAATTTTAAGAAAAATAATTGATAGACCTCAAGGTCGTTTGCGCGATTTTCTAAAGGTTGAGCCACCATTTAACATTTAGAAAATGGCCGGTTTTGTAATTCATTTTTTAGATTTATGTTTTTAACTAGTATTTTGTACTTGATAATTTGAACAACTTTGAATTTAGGCTAAACGTAATCATGAAGCTATTTTGAAGGGAGAAAGAGAAGGCAATTCAGTGATATACATTGTACGGATAAAATAAAAGGCACAATTTACGTTTATGACGTTCCTTGTATCATCCACATGAAAAATGAGTTTTTTTAAATTTCACAAGTATGTAAAAATACGTTAATGCACTACATTAATTTCACGAAGCTGTTTGAAACACGGGAGAAATTTAGTTCACAAAAGTTCCCAAAGTGAAGCAAGTATTTCTGAAGTTTACGATAGCGTTAAAACGTATGAATAATTAAATCGATTTGAAAAATTACTTTAATTCCTCATTTGACATAAGTTTAATGGATTGACATCTGCATGTCTGCATTCAAAATAATATATTTCGAAACTGACCACTCCCCCATCAGGAATTTTGGTGGAAAATATATAGGAAAAATGGTAGCCTTTTACCACGAACCACGGTTACTAAAACATGGTTAATTACACGTATAAATCTCGGTTTAATTTCCACCGTTGTCAACCCCTCAATAAAGTCTACATAAATATAACTGTGGGAATTTGGTTGAGTTTTGGCACAAATCCTAGCATGAAATAATAGTAGAAGTAGCGTAGATTCACACCGTTGTTTTCCACCAAAAAAGTCAACAGAAAATTCTCGTAAAATTCCACATTGAGTTTTGCTCTCTCTTGGGAGCGCATGCATTTTCTTACTTCATTTTTATTCAACGTGTTCAAAATGTCTGACTCATTAAAGTTTTCAATTTTACAAATTGACGTCAAGGGGACGAAATTAGTTGAAATTGTACCACTGTCATGGATTGACGAGACAGAGAAGGTGGTATGTTGGCCCCCACCAGCAAAATTAAAGAGTTTGTCTAAAAAAGGCTCCTCCCTCCCACTCCCATCATGGCGACAACAAAATTTTGAAAAAATCTTAGGAAAATACGGTAATTATATTCACTTATTTACTTGGCCATTAAATTATTTTTAATTTCTATTTCCTAAATAAATTTTTATTTTAGCCTCTTGGGAAATTGCATGTGAAAAGCTGAAGGTGGCAGAGGAAACTTCCAACATTGAGAGTGACTCCGAGGAGGAACCCCCACATCGTCGAAGAAATAACGTCCCCCAAGCATTAATTGAGGGGAATCCACCCCAAATTTCATCTGACAGTAGTGGGGAGGAGGAGGAAGGTGATATCGCCGTGGTCCCTCCAAGCGTAACTTTGGATTCTGAAGGTACAATTTATTTTTCTAAATATATGTACATATTTTTACCTGATAATTGGGTTATTTACAAATATTTGTTTTTCAAGCCACTCCTCCAAATCATCCTCCCGACTCGGAAGTACAACTCGTGAATGAGGAAGGTGGCGCAATTTTGCTGACTTCCTCCCAAGAAATACAAGATTTGAAGAAATTAATTCTAGGTAAATATTTTACATTAATAAGTAATTCCAACATTTATATTATTATGAGCAATCATTGTTTATTCTACATATTATGCAGGCTTTCAAAAACAGTGTTTTGAAATTTTGGAAAGACAAAATATTGACATAAAAGATATTAAATCTGTTCTTCACAATCTGAAGGCGACAAACGGCGATGGACCTACAGCTGATTTTTCCGTCATCCCCACTCATCCACTGAACAATAAAGAGGAACTGGATATCTTAGAAAACTGGATACGTGATGCAAAGGCCAACCGTGATACTCTGGTAACATAATTAAAATCAAAATACATGAACGCTTTTGATGAACAATTATAAATTGTTATGCAAGTCGTTCGTTAACGACATATATAAATTCTCGATTATTTTTATAGATTGATTATTTGGCTTTGACTGGCGGTAAAACTCCTCAAAAAAATGTAAGGAAATTGTACAAGAAGTTTTTCGTTTTTTCGTTTGCTCGTCAAATAAATTGGACTGGAAAGGGGGGGAAAATTTCACTAAAACCACTAGAGTTCTTGGGGGTTGTGAAAGGTAAATAAACTATTTTATTGGTTGTGTTCGTACACTAACGTACATTTCTATGCGCGCAACTTGTTATAATAATAATTCTGTTGTATTTTACAGAAGCTGTTCGTAGAAAGCACAATACAGCTACTGACGACGATATTGAAAGTGTGTCGAAGGATTACTTTCGCTTCCTAAAGGAGTAATTGCACAATGAGTCTCATAGAAAGAACGGGATCATCTGCAAGAAATATTCGTCGAATCGTTTCAAGAAGAGTGCAAGAAAATATACAAAATGCTTCATCAAGTCATGCTGCAAATATATTAGAAAATAATAATCGTGTTGTAAATAATTTGATAGTCAACGGTGAATGTACCAATGACAGTTCTGATAGCCAGAGTGATAATGTTAGCGATAGTGTAAATAGTAGTTCGTCAGAAAGTTTAAATCATTCAGAAGACGATTTAATTAGTTTAAGAGATGAACTTAGAGATTGGGCAATTAATCAAAATATAACGGATCGCAATTCAAGAACTTTTACGAATACTAAAAAAACGTAAAATATTTAATTTTTTACCAAGCGATCATAAAACTTTACTCAGGGCAAACAAAAGCAGATTTCTTAAGCATATTTATGAGGACGGTTCACAGTTTTGTTATTTTGGCCTTGAGAATTCGTTAAGAAAGCAGCTTCTTCATGAGTTAATTGAACCTTCTGAAGCAGTATTAGATATTTCAATCAGTGTAGATGGTCTTCCAATATCAAAAAGTAATTCTAATCAATTTTGGCCGATTCAGGCAATTTGTTCACAAAGTAAGTTTGGCGTTTTCTTGATAGGGATTTATTATGGCAAAACTAAACCACAAGATGTTTCTGAGTATTTTAAAGATTTAATTGAAGAATTAGCCTTGCTTAGTACTAGCGGATTTTATATAAACTCAAAGAAATATCTCGTTAAATTATCTAAGATTATAGCTGACGCCCCGGCAAGAAGTTCTGTAAAGCAATGCAAAAATCATATCATGGGTGCGAAAAATGTATAGATAAAGGCACCTGGAAAGGAAGAGTTATTTTTGAATCGTTTGACGCCCCACTAAGAACATTTGAATCTTTCAAAAGTCAGCATGATATAAATCATCATACAGGAATTTCACCATTAATTCAGTTAGATTTTGATTTAGTTAATTGTGTCCCAATTGATTATATGCATTTAATTTGTCTAGGTGTGGTACGTAAATTATTGCGTAGTTGGGTAAAGGGACCACTTCCTTATAAATTATCTCCTAGATTGATAACTAAATTAAACTCTGACCTTCGTTCATTATCGCCAACTTGCCCTAAAGAGTTTGTGAGGAAACCTAGAACTGCCAAAGAAATAGATTTATGGAAAGCTACCGAATTTCGAACCTTTTTACTTTATACAGGACCAGTAGTTCTTCAAAATATCCTTTCTAAATCGAAATATCAACATTTCTTATTACTTAGCATAGCCACCTCAATTTTGGTGACTAAAAAAGCTACTAATGTTGAGTGGAATAATTTCGCTAATCAACTAATGCTATTATTTGTGAAAAAAGTTAAAGAACTTTATTCTCAAGAATTTTGAGTGTACAATGTGCATAATTTAATTCACATTTCTGCCGATGCATTGAAGTTTGGTCCCCTAGATTCTTTCAGTGCATTTCCTTGAAAAGAAAATGAAAATAATTATGAAAATAATATGCAATACATCAAAAAGACTTTGAGATCATCGTACAAGCCATTTGAACAATGTGTCAATCGAATGCATGAAAGGGAGCAGAATTTTCTAACAAATAATTCTAACAGGATTAGTACGCAACCTTTAAAGCTCAATAACGCTAATAATTGTTTTAGGTTAAAGTCTGGTGATTTCGTAGTAATATGCAAAAAAATGAAGGAAATATTATTTACAGAAAATTTAAAAAGTGCGATGAGTATTATACAAACCCTTGTGTAAGTACTACTGTAAATGTATATAAAGTAAGGAAATTGTCAAAGAAATGTACAACTAGTTTTAGCTCAATTGAAACTAAATGTTGGTTAATGCCTGTTAATAATAATGAGTTCGTTGTCCGCCCATTATGTAATTGGGCATTAAATTCTGTGTAGTTTGATTATATGTAATACTTAAAAAATAAACTTTATATTTAAAAATTAACTTTGAAATATATCGTTGATTCCAGATATTGTCAACCGTGGTAAATAACCTAAAAATCACCGTCATATAAGCACCTATTCCCACCGTTGTATTAATGTATAAAACAACCGTGGTGTTATTGTAGAAAACTACGTGAAAACAACCATGCATGCGTTGTTGAATAAAACGTAAATTTCTACGTGAAAAGCACCGTGGTAATATGGTAGTGTTATTTGTTGAGTTCCGCATAAAAAAAGCGGCCATCAGTCACTACTTTTCCACATTGTTATTTTTGCGTGGTTTCCACGATTTTTCCTGATGGGGTCAGCATAAAAATTATACAATTTTCATTGAAATAAATTCACTGTGATTTTCCTTAAGAAGCAAAATCCGTAAAATACTTCCGAGTTATGTTAAAGAACACTATCTTGGAAAAATCTGTTCCTACAAAATGAACAAAGTGATTTATCCTCTGCACGAGAAGCAAATAATTTTTTTTAATGTTACAAATAAGAATAAAAAGTTCAAGGTCTAGACCGATTTCAGGCAGTTGTTTCAATACAGGTAAAATGGAAAATTTTGGAAATTTAGTTAACAATAGTTTTACAAAATGAAAGAACTATCTGTAACGTTTTTTACGATAGTTTTAGAAAAATTAGAATAATTAAGATGATTTAAAAAAAATCAAACAAAGATGTAGAAATATTCGACTTAGAAAACATATGTATCTGTATACCCTGGAAGCTAATATACATATTAGTAAATGCATAATTCGGCATCAAAATTATACATTATAGAAGTTTCGTTGAAACCTCTCCAATCCTCCTAACAAAACTTTTAGGCAGGATCTGACCATAGATATAGAATAGAATAGATTCGGCTACTTTAGAAAAAGCGTCTCATCATGGAGAAGAATTTGGGGATAATGCATGGTCGCACGGTGGCGCATGGAGTGCTTAGCACGTTCGCATATCATTAGAAAATTCTGAAAACTACGAAAATAATTATATTCCTCTCAGTTTCTCCCTTCTAATCGCAAACATAGCAAGTGCAGGTTTTTGAAATGTAATAAAACTTAATAGTGAGGCTTAATTAATTAAAATATTAATTAAATTTTAATTCACGTCTCACGTCAGCTGAGATTTTGTTGTTATTGGTTTTTCATTTAACAAGCTTGGTTTGCAGACACAGGCAGGATTTAGTCCCACCGCAAAAACATGCCGAGTTTTTAAAATTGACTATATGGAAGAGGCCTGATCTATTCTGCTCTATATCTATGGATCTGACACCGAGATGAAAGAAAGCAGATAATTCGGAGAGGGGATGACGACGAGCGAAAGGAAGGAAGGAAGTGGGGAAGAAAGAATAAAGGGGAAAGTCGTGAGTATGGAAAGGTGCGTGTTTTGTATTATTGTGCTGTCACACGTGTTGAAGTTTAACTTTCTGCTCGGAAAATGGGGTTAAATAATTTTGTAATCAGGTTATAATTTACCAGTTCGATGCAAATTACCAAATTATGGTATAGTTTACCGGTTTAACAATAAAATTGAAGAATAACTACAACACTTTCGTAACAAACTGCTAGTTTACCAACTTCATTAGTTTTATTGAGATTGTAAGGATTTAATCCTATTTTGTAATTTTTACAGGATTTTAAGACGAGCGAATTAATTTTAGGTTTATGGAATCTGATGCTTATTTGTTATGCTAAAAATTAAAATAATTCAGCAAGTATTCTACCAATTTACAAACATTACAAAATTACATTACAACTTTCACAAAATTATTAAATTCATCCACAATTCTTGTTTTCTATCAAAATTGTAATCTTACTTTATTCGTGCTGCCGACAAATTCCCCAATTTCCCTACAAACTTGCCTTATCCCAAATTAAGTAAACTTGCCGTCTCCCCGACTAAATTTCATCTCATCCCGTCGACTTTGTCAGAATTATTAAGGTTTAATACGTCGTAAATAGAAATTAGTCACGACGGTAAAACATAATCGCGTAGCATCGGAGTAAATGGTTTAGTGCGGATAGTTGCGGATAAGATTGCGGATTTAGAATTGCGTATTTAGTGGCGAAAGGGATAATAATGCCCAATTAATTACAGATTAGTGAGCAGTTTAGTTTGTATAATTGATATTTTACGGCGAGTGAGACTTTCTCTCAAGTTTCGCCTCGTCATGGCACAAAACGTGGTTTGATACATAGGAAACGGACAGGTAACTAACAAGAAGTGCATGACGAAGTAAGTGAATAATGCATAAAACTTTCCCCGTTAGCAAAATAGCCCCCGTTCTCTGGTTAGTGGTCTGGTCAGCTGAAAGAAATCACGACACGAAGTCAACCCAGGAGCAGGGTGCCTAAAAACATATAACAGTTTTTGTAAGGTATTGCAATTTTTGGGTATTATTTAGTGAAACCTTGGTTTTTGATGACATAATATCTAAAATATGTATAACATAAATAGGCTTTTTGATTAACAAGCTACAGTACTGAACAAAAGGGTCTGGTCTAGGGATTTGTCACCGGGTGGTGACCGCCCAATATGAATCTATCGATGTGGGTAATGTAAAATTGTACAAAATCTAAATTGAATTTTTGGTATCATCAAATTTACCTAAGTATTGCCAAATAATTTACAATTTTTTAGCAATAATTGATCTAACGCCAAATTTCTAATTCTACGAATGTTGATTACCTAATTTAAAAAACTGTTTGCATTGCAAATAATTTACACTTAATTGAAGGCGAGGCAATCATCTGAAGAATTTTTAAAACTATCGCTTTATTAATTATTTAGCAAAAATCGACGCCGTAGTTTGCAAAATTTAAATTAAATTCTACAAAACAAGGAAATTCTTGGAAACATGGTCCAGGAACTGCGACTCAAGGAACTATATCTACAGCTGCGACTGATTTGATGGGGACAAGGGGACCAGCACATTCTATGCTTCCACTATCAATTTTAACATGCGGGAGGTAGTACAAAGGTGTAAAAATTGGGCTAAAATAGATCGATAAAATAAGCTCTGCTAATAAAATTTTACACGTTTAGTGTGCAAGGAAATGAAATAAATTAAATTTGAAAGTTTTTGAACTTTAGTAAAAGAGGTTCAAAATATAGACATATTTTACAAGTTCACTGTTCTGGGAGGAAAGTTTGATTCTGTCTGAAATGAAAATATTTAATTTTAGAATGTGTTTGGAATCCTAGAATGTATTTTTCCTTACATGAAGAGGAGACAGAAAATTATGAAAATAAAGCACGTTTAAAATATAAGCTTGTAAAAATTTCGTATAATTTCGGCTTCCTACTTCTTGGCATAGTTAGACGGCGTACTGTCTTCTTCAGAGTGATGAAAAAATTGCGAAAAATATGTCAATAAATTAAACGTAAAGGGTTACAAAATTGTTAAGTTAGATCAAAATTGTTGGAAAGCGAAAAATACAATTTCATTGTATACCTCTATTTTACAAATAAAAAGAAGAAGCTATTTCCGAACCATGACATTTTCTCGGCCACCCGAAAATAATAATAATAATGAAACGATCCCATTGTATTGATAGCTTGACTAATCGGAACAAATCCAATTCGATTTCATTCTTGGCCGCGGCGCTGTTTGTTTTCAAACAGCGCCTTCATCCTTGTTTGCGGAACGGGCGGACTAATTACACTCCCCGCTTTCTCCTTCTTACCCTACTAAATGTGGACAGGAATTTGTGTACAATTCAATGAGTTGTAGAATTCACTAAATAATGTGGCAACAAAATTTTGACAGATTGGCAATGATTTGTCACTGTCAATTTATCTCCGCGTTAAAATTCGTAGTGAAATTCTTGGTACTACTGCTTACTCGTATAAGATTCTGTCAAACTATGACAGGGCGAATGACACATTTTACTACCAATTTGGTACCACATCAATTTATATCTTAGATTATAATCCAAGCAAATTATAAGAGAAGCTAGCAATTTATGAAATTTAAATTTAAGATTGAAGCTCAACAAAAAATTACTTTTTTATTAAATCGTTACAAGTTTTAGGAATTGGACGAAAATCTTGGATAAAATTAAAATTACCAATGCCCGAGTGAAATTTGGTATTTTAATATAAAACTGTTTATTACAACTATTTACTATGATTTAATAAATCGCACTACCACCACCGAATAAGACCCATCTAGGCTAATTCAGACAAATACCGGAGAGTCTAAAATTATTTATGTGGCGCTAAAGTTCGCGATTTGTTTTTCATTCATAATATTGAATCAAGTTGTTCTGAAAAATCAGATAGTTCGTTAATTATTCAAACTACGCATTTATCAATAGGAATTATAATATTTTAAATATTTATCACAGTTGCATACAAGTTGTGTTAATTATGTAACACAAAAAAACACGTCACTTTCCAACAATTTTTGATGTATTCATTTTTAAATATTTAAAAAATTCCCCAAAAGGCTAGACTTTAGTTAACCGTCGGTCTCCGATAGGGTTAAGTGATACGTCATTTTGTTCGTCTCGGCGAGCTGAACAAGAATATCGAAGCCAGAAGGCGCGGAAATGTCCCGTTCAAAAGTTATGGCGGGACAAAGTTTGAAATTTTTATTGCATTTTTGGACGTTTCAGAGAATTCTACGACTTTGTCTCACTTTGCCCCAAAGCGGGAAATTTTTTGGGGTATATTGAGATTTTAGGGGTAACGTGAGATTTTTAGTTTTTATTGCAGAATATTGAATTTCAATCAATTTCCGACATGGCAGGACATTTTTGGGGTAAGATGAGATTTTCGGGGTAACGTGAGATTGTGGCAAAACGTGGCAAAACGGGGGCCCTCACATGGCGACCGCGAGCGAAGCGAACCTGGAAAATGCGAAAGCGGGAGCCCCGCACTGGTAGTAATTATGTCGAATATTGGGGTATTGTTCGTATTTTAGCGAGCGAAGCGAGCAGGTTAGGTTAGATTGAATACGCGGAAAGTGCTACCTAGGAGAGCTACCTAAAAGTGTTACCTAGAAGAGCTACCTAGAAGAGCTACCTAGAAGTGCTACCTGGGATAGCTATCTAGAAGTGCTACCTAGACGTGCTGCCTAGAAGTGCTACCTAGAAGTGCTACCTAGAAGAGCTACATAAAAGTGCTACCTAGAAGAGCTACCTAGCAGTGCTACCTAGAAGAGCTACCTAGAAGTGCTACTTAGAAGAGCTACCTAGAAGAGCTACCTAGAAGTGCTACCTAGAAGAGCTACCTAGAAGTGCTACCTAGAAGTGCTACCTAGAAGAGCTACATAAAAGTGCTACCTAGAAGAGCTACCTAGCAGTGCTACCTAGAAGAGCTACCTAGAAGTGCTACCTAGAAGTGCTACTTAGAAGAGCTACCTAGAAGAGCTACCTAGAAGTGCTACCTAGAAGAGCTACCTAGAAGTGCTACCTGGGATAGCTATCTAGAAGTGCTACCTAGACGTGCTGCCTAGAATTGGGGAATTGGATAGGAAATAACCCCAAAAGTCTCAAAGTACCCCGAAACCCCTCCCGCCGTGCCGTAAAATGATTGTAATTCAATATTCTGGAATAAAAACTAAAAATCTCAACTTACCCCAAAATCTCAATATACCCCAAAAAATTTCCCGCTTTGGGGCAAAGTGAGACAAAGTCGTAGAATTCTCTGAAACGTCCAAAAATGCAATAAAAATTTCAAACTTTGACCCGCCATTACTTTTGAACGTTTCGATATTCTTGTTCAGCTCGTCGAACTGAACAAAATGACGTATCACTTAACCCTATCGGAGACCGACGGTTAACTAAATTTTTTCCCCCCAAAATTCACTGTGACAATTTTTCCTCCTGCTCTTGACTTATCTTTGATTTGAACCGGTAATAAACGTTCTTACTTACCATTGAGACCTTGAGAATACCAATCTTTCACATAAATTAAAATGTCTGTGATAACTTCTTTATATTTTGACGTCCAACTTTCCCAGACATTTTCAATTTATGAAAATTTAGTAAAAATGCGAAGAAATTCTTCAAGTCAAAGTGGCATTGCTACTGTTAATCTTGGTTTATAGAGTCGAGAAAATTTAACTAAACGTTGCAAAAGTTTAAAAACAGTTAGGTCACTAAAAAATAAAATTTAAAATTAAGTCTAAGTCTAACCGTAAATTTATTTCTTCTTAACTTTACAAATTAATATTATACGAATTACGGACTTTACAAACATGCGAGCTAATTGTTTCAATTGATTGTAGAGTGGTATAAAGAGTACAGAGAATTGTATGAGCTGAACGAAATGTTTGCCAAACTTCAAGTGAATTATAATTATTGTATTACTCCAACTTTTAACTTTTATCGTGATAATTAAGTCCATAAAAATTTTGCGAAACGTAAGGAAAGGAGCTACGACCCTTTTTGTATAAATACGTATTTGGTCATAAGTAATTTTTATTTTGGCGTCCATCTTTGCCAAATGTTTGAATACTTTAAAATTGTCGTTGTACATACATAAATGAAAATTTTAATACGTAAAAAGTAAGCTAGGATCAAACATAAAAAAATTGAAGTGTATTTTGTACCCGGTTTTTAAATCGTAAAACAGTTCAAAATTCATTTTAAATTAAGAATGTAAGGTGCGACAAAATGATAATTAAAAAAATAAAATTTGAATTCTTTCTAAATTACAGGTGATTCCCGACGGGATGCCCGTTACCCGATCGTGCTTGTGATTCACGGTGAGGGTTGGGAGTGGGGGAGTGGCAACGAATTTGATGGGGCCGCCCTCGCCAGCCTCGGAAATCATATCGTCGTCACCTTCAATTACAGGTCAGAGTTGCGCGAAGGGTGAGATTCAAAGGCGCGTAATATTATTTGTGTATGTAACAACTAACTAAATATTTTATATGGATTTAATTTCCAGGTTGGGACCTTTAGGTGAGTAGCGAAATTATTTGAATTTTTATCCATCCTCATTTATCACATATTTCATGCGGTTCATGATTAATTACGGAAAATTGTACTATTTTCGAGGTAAAGTTTCTTACATTTTAATTCACGTGGTAGAAAATTTGTTACGGGGGAGTTACATCAAGTCCTGAATTTGTACAAGAAATTCTACTAATTGTTTTTAAGAAAAACGTAGAATTGATCAAAGTGACGTATTGTGATTCATTAATTCTAGTCATAAAAGTCAGCTGTATATAATTTTTTAGCGTTCGAGTTGTTAATAATTTTATCGAAGGACGTTATCCTTTTACGAATTTACGTGAACTACGAAGAAGTTATTTCTTTTGGCACTATTCTTGTACACATTTGGCAAATGTACGTATAAAAATTGTTGCATGAAATTCCTCAGCATTTGATGCACATCTATATTATAGCTGGAAATGTTTGTCTGCAACGGAAGCAAAATAATTTTCCGTGACGGAAGTGAAAGTAGAGAAAGCAATAATATTAATTGGAATTTTAACATCAAATTCACTCTCGCCCTGCGGGAGACGGGCTTATACGCTAGTTAGAAATATTCCTGGTCTGGTAGATGACTGTACTATTTTCTATCCATACACTATTGTAAACCTGGTAGAGTCATATATTTACTCGTATTAACTTGCTACTGGATTGGGGGTAGTTTGTGTCTGCATGGTAAATTTTTCAGTACCACAAAATTACTAAACAGTAATGCCGGTTATTACCAGTGCCGGAAGGCACATCTACATTTGTACTTCGGTCGGGCAGTAATGATTTGAAAACAGTTTTATTAAAAGTGTAAACTCTTAATTACAAGTAAGAAAAAAACTTGATTTATGTGAAACAAATGTGAATCTAAACCAAAATACCGTCCATGAAACATATGCTGGTTAGTGATGCAAAATGAAACAATCCCTAAACAGGAATGCAAAAAAGTGGCATATACAATTACGTCTTAGGTTGCATTACATAATAAGAAAATTACATAACATGGCCAACTTTCCCTGCGATGAATGAAATGTAATATGAGACCGGAAAACGAGGAATGTACATCTGTCCACCCACTTCACAAAGTTTTCACTCTTAATAATTTCACTAAAGATTTTGTTTGTCAATACGAAAATCCAGTAAAAATAATTGTTTAGTTAAACGCCCTTATGAAAAAATATGAAAATTGTAATTCGATTTCAAAAATGCAGATACAGATTGTTTAGTACAATCTAATTTTAGTTTATGCTAATATAGCCTCTCCAAACGTTTTGAATAATGAAAACCTGGATTTTGTAATAGTATCAGTTATACGTTTTTTTAAATTAGGAAATCTATGGAGAACAAGTATTAAGAAATATTACTGACTTGACATAAAACATAAGATTTCTTAATCGAAATAATTTTATTGTGAAATGAACAGATAAATAGTCGAACTGGGAAAGACTGAGTATCTAACGGATAACAAATTATTATTATTTTCTTTTTAAATACCAAAAAGAAAGCTGGTAAATAAAAAAGAGTACCAAATATACCTAACTATATAAGTTCTACTTATTACCGGACGGATGAAGTTTGTCACCGAGTTTAATAGAGTGCACTACATATAACCAGCTCGACAGCCATGCACCTCATAAGTTTTTCGTCAGAAAAGGTCTCCCAGAACTGGGCCAACTCTTGACAAGAGTCACTTTTCGTAAAAGAGAAAGCAATTATCATCACATAATGTTCTGTGGCGTGACTTTCACCTGGAAAGTTAATCAACGTCGTCCCCAGACCTGAACCTAGCCTCATTAAAAAAAATTACTATTCGACCAATATAATAAATAAAATGTGTGATCTATTTTATAGCAGGCTGGTTACAATCTTAGTCACAACAAGCACCATCCGGGCAGGGAATTTTCTAAAAATGTACTTATTTATTTTTAAATTAAATTTTACATCCAAAATACTTACACGCATTAAAAATACGCATTAAATATTAGAATAATGTACTCGTTTCTATTTTCATGGCTAAATTTTGTCTATAAAGTCAACGCATTGTTCAAAATTAAATTCAAAGTGTTGAATTTATTTTAAAATTAAATATATTTAATATTTATTTATATTTATAATTTATAATATTTATATTTATAATATATAATTTTATATTTATATTTTATATTTATAAGAAAGGAGAGAAAGGAGAGAAAGGGCATTTTATATTTTATATTTTATATTTATAATTTTTATTTATTTATTTATTTATATTTATATTTAATATATACGCCGTTTTGTGCAAATCAGTAATTTTATAGTTAGGTTATGTTAGCAAGATGGGTCGTTCAAGGAATCCAGATGACTGACAGACGAGTTTTTTCGAAATTATAAGAATTTCAGTTGGAATTTTTTGATCGCCCACCACCACCAATCACGTAGGTCATTGCTAACATGGGACTAAAAACTGCAGAGAAATATTGCAATTTTTCGCAATTAATCATGAACAAGCAAAAATCTGTTAATTTTTATGATTCCTACTCCAATTTTGTGCAGTTTTTTTAAAACGAGTAACCAGCAGTCGAACTTTGGTCTGTTAGACGTAGGAATAATGATAAATTAGATCAGTCTTGTATTTCCAGTGATATGATCAACAACGCCATGAATTTCATTTATTTGAAAATGAGATTGCTTTAAGATACAATTTTGTTGAATTTTTCTCGGATTAAAATTGTTTTCGAATGATTCATTTCAAACTCACAACAAAATATATGGTTTTATAATTTGTTCCATCTTTTACATAGCGCACTTTAAATTTCAGAAAGTTTATAAACTCAGGAAAATGTAATTTATACTTGAAATTTGTAAAATTTTTCTGAGAATCAAAATTTGCAATCTTATTACACGCCGAAATTAAATATTAATTTTTTTAATTTTTGTGCGTGTTTTTCACACCATACTTTGAATTTCTAAAACTTTATATATACTTTAATAGATTAAATTAGGCAGACGTCGTCGAAAAGAAATTATTTGTTTTTTTTTTACTTCTGAAAATAGGTGATTAACACTGGAAGGAAATTTGCAATTTTTGAAAATACAAATATGTAATTTTTCATACCGGAAGTATTTACTTTTTCTGATGATTTCCGACATTTTAATAAACTTCATTTCTGAAATATTTTATGCGTTTTATGAAGTAGATTTTCTTCTCAAAATTATTTTTATATTTTGTGACACATAATTCCAGGTAGGAATTTATAATTTATAATAACCTACAAGGTAGTGATACGGGTAAAAAGTTAATTATAACCCATATTTCTTATGATTTTGAAATTCAAGGTATGTTTTTCACACTAAAATCATAATATTCGAATTATTTAGAATTCTAAACAATAATCTAATCTTGATTTAATCCAGAGTTATGACTTTTGTAAGATCGCGACATAAATACAGTTTGGAACTTGATAGCTTTTTTTCGTTCTTGTGAAATGCAAAATGCCGCATTTTTTAAACTCCAAAAATGCATACTTAATACGTCACAATTTAAATTTTTGAATTTGTTGTACATAATTAAAATTTTAGATGTGATTAGTTTGTTCGTGGAATTATACTTTCTCAAATTTTTTGTTGAAAAACACAACTTCATCTTGGAAATTAAAATTTTTAAGTGAAACTTTGTAGATATTTCTCAGAAAAAAAGTTGTTTCGAAAAACTTTGCTAAAATGTTTCTGTCATTTGCAGCGTCTGGGAACCATGGAGGGTGACATTGTGCCTTACGTGATGGGACTCCCGGTGACGAACAATATACCCGCGCAGGGCCTCAACCAGCATGTTTCGCCCTTCGCCGCCCTCGCAAACTTCTCCAAGCAGGATGCCTTCGTGGCAGAAATGTTTCTTCATTATGTCGCCAACTTTGTAAAAAGTGGGTAAGTTGAGAGAATCGTGGTGGATTTTTTTTGGGGGTAGGAAATGTTAAAGAATGGGTGAGCTTTCTACGAAAAGGCGAATTTGCATAATATTTAAAATAATTACGTAATAAATATAAAGAGGGTACTCACGATATAACGTTTACAGCGAATCTCAAACGTTGAACATATCTAAATTACTTTTGAAGGTTTGCGAAGTTTGCGTGATTTCGATAAGAATTTTGGTGCAAGACTAATAATTTTGGGAGTTACGAAAGTATCGACCCAAATAGGATATGGATTTTTTTATTTTATGAAGATTATTTCGCAAAATGTTTGTATAATGCGGCACAAAATTAGAAATTGTGGCGAGTACGCCGTACGCACAATATTTACTGTGGAAAAACTTCATAGTTCAACGCCGAAACAAAAATATTTTGCAATTTGAATATTAATTTGTAATGTCAGATTAATGTGGTAGTATAGATATCTGTATGCATTTACATTCAAAAGGATATTTTTTTAAACTTTCAAAATAGAAAATTTTATTTGGAAAAGTTTTGCCAGTTACTTTTAAGTTTACGAGTTACTAATTTACCTCGTGAGCATAGAGTTCGATAAAATTTGTGAACACAAACAAATTTTGTATTTTTATTGCCAATTGTTGAGGGAAGTGAACACCGGAAATAGTTTTTGGGGAAGTTCAAATATAACGAATTATACGATAGATATTTCTCCATTCCATTGCATTTCCATTTGTGTATGAAACATGTCACTTTTTGTAATTAATTTTTTGTCATCAGTTACACCGAGGGGTCAAAATTTCAAAATTCATGAAGAATAGATCACAAGTTTTATGTATGCAAGTTCCAAAACTGTAGGAAAGTGAACTTTTCTCAAGAGACACGATGTCTAATAAAAAAAAATGTAACATACACGTCGATTGACATGACTTTTTCCGACCGGAAGTGGGCTCGTGCCCTTGTTATCGCGTCAAGAAGATATGATTACAGAGAAGAAGGGAAACTTTTGCCGGGGAAAGTCCTTTCTCAAACCATCAATAAATCCGTCATGTGTTACACTCACGGAGAAAACACTTTATTCTCGACGTTGTAGTTCCTTCCTTGCCGGTCTCAACCATTGGAGAGTCAATGCAAAAAAGTGGTGAATGATGCTCTTAAAAATGTAAGGTAAATTATTTGATAAGTACAGTGACAAAAAATCAACAAAAACAAAAAAAATTCTACCTATTTAAAGGGACTAGAAATTAAATTTGAATTTTTTAACCCCGCAAAAATTTCAACTTTTATACATAAATTATTTTACAAGCCTATTTTTTGAATAAATTTATAATGTAATTTAAAAAAGAATTAAATATTTCTGTAATTCGTGAAGCACTACGGAATTAATTAGTTAGTTAAACTGATTTAGAATTGTTCATTTGATCCATAGTATTTTTGGACTTCAGAAGAGTTTACGAGGCAATCAAGTCCAATTGTCAGGAAACATTTTATATATTTAAATTCTGAATTTGCTAACGTCGGAAGATATTATTTTGAGATGTTGAGACCACTATGTGACTAAAGATTGTATCTCGATGCTTTTTGGTTACTGATATTTGATTGTATTGATTTGTTTAAGAGTGTCCATCCTACCGAGTCGTCATTTTGTGTATCGGACCATTTTCCGTGTGCCGTCCAGATCAGGAAATTTCTGTTTGCTTCTATTTTACTTTACTTTCCCACTTTTTTCATATATTTTTTACAAAAAAAACTTTTTTGAAGGCATCAAACTGATGAATTACTTCCAAGATGGATGTTTAGATACCGGGGAAAAAGTTGTTTTCATACTTTCACTTTGCGTTTCTGTTCGTAGTTTTTTTTAAGTTTGTGAAAAAATTCATGTTTTTGCATTCTGCATTAAAAATTTACAAAATTTAAATACGTATTTTCACAATGAAAATATTATGGTAACAGGGTTGTAACCAAGGAGCCACGGACCATTATTACACCGTAATAACAAAACGGTACATACATTATCCACGAAATTAAAATTTATCTCTATTTCAAAACATAATCACGTCAAGTTCCAGGTTACATATGTAAGCTTGAAAACTAACGTTTATAAATTATTTGCCAACAAAATGTGTGATAATCTATTTTTTGCTAGATATTTCTGCTTTTAATACTAATTTTATAGTTCTTTCCCAGCAAGTTTAATATTACAAACTTGAAATTTAAATTATTTATTTGTGTCAGATTTTTAACGTTAAGTTCCAAAATGTAAATTTCAAACAACTTTTCTGAATGATTTGCCAGCAATATTTCCAATAAAGTATACGATAGCATAATTTTTTGCTTGTTTTACATACCGGAATTGTAAATTTCTGAAATAGTAGATATTAGGGGTTACAAAATTTAGATGACAAGTGTCCATTCGTGAAATTAATTTCGTTACAATTGTTTTGTAGAACAGACAAATTTAATATTTTAATCTACAATAAGCCTCACGTTAGAATTATTTATTTTGTGCCAGTCTTTTTATAATTCGTATTTTTTTTGCAAATTTGACCAGCCCTCGATTTTTAAATTGCATTTCTATATCGAAATAATCGACTCTCTAATTTATTGTAATTCTTTAACACCGCAAATTTATAATTTCTATAATCTAAATATAAGTCAAAGCTGTATTTAGATGCATTGCCACACTGACAATAAATTAATCTTCGAAACACCTGTTGCTTTCATACATACATTAATCGAGTGGAAAATAATTGTCACCGTTTTTGGTGCTAAATCTTTACCAATACTTCGTCACAACTGTATTCTCATATTATTCGCAGTGCATCAAATTCTCATTATTATTGACAAGTTGCGCCCACCCGAGGGAGTCGGGAGAAAGTTTGGGCGAAATATTTACCGAAAAATTACTGTTGAGATGAAAGTAGGGATGAAGCTTGAATAATTATGCTCACTCAACGGTTATAGTACTGCCACGACCTTGTGTAACTAATCGCTAAAAAATTTTTGAAATATTTCAACGTCATTTCGACTTTTAATTTGAAAATGCACACGACAGAAGTAAGTAATAGGTTAGCTCGAAGGTAACTCAAATTTATTTGAAATGTATATTTTCTAAAGTTCAAGAATTTTGAAAACTTCGAAACTCTCAATTGTCTCGTCTTTTTTTAGTCTGAATTGAAACGGGGAAAGTAAGAAATAGGACACTTGCTCTTCTTTAGGGTTTCTTAAAATCGTGATTTTAACTTTTTATTTGAAATCGATTTTGTCAGTAGCATTAGGTAGTTGTTTTCGAATTTTTCTAAACACAGGCGAATATTTACTGTCAAATTCTGTCTGGAATTATTATAACGATACAGTTATAAATAGGTCTGCCATGATCTTATGTAACTAATTGTGAAAAAATTTCGAAATATTTTAACGTCAATTCGAGTTTTAATTAAATGATGCAGATAATAGAGTAAATGGTAGGTTGAATGATCCCGTTATCTATGAGACGAATTTATTTGTGAAAAGTATATTTCAAAAGTTCAAGAATTCTGAAAATTTCGAAACTCTATTATTCTGCTCTCACTCATGCCCATTCTGCAATTTCCTTTGAAATTTGATTCTCTGTTTTTCTTTGTGCTACGTGCCAAACCCTGGTTTTCTATATTTGGTAATTCTTCTCAAGGATGCTCCAGATGCGGATCGGATGCATTGAGTGAGTTTATTTTAGAGAGATTGTATCCCAATTCGACGATGGTGGTGGAATAGTGACACGTTTACGTTCTGAGGTCAGTCTAGTTAGTTTAGTGTCTGAGGTTAGTTTAGTGTCAACGTGGGTCCTTCTCTCGGAACTAAATTGGGACGAAATTTGACCTCCTATTTACTTTCACCTTGCAGTAAATTAGATCACGTTAGTGGAATGAGGAGGCTTCCGTGATGTGCCCGTTTTTTCATTCATTTCCTATTTTTGTCTTGATTGCTTTCATTCTGGTGAAAGAAGGCAGATACTTTTTTAGGTGAAGAAAGCCACCTCTAAATTTATAAATACATTAAATTCGTGACAAAAACAAGACTGTAATTTAATTAATTTCTAACTGATCTAATGTTTACTTGGTGAAATTGCAGTTTTGTGAAATTTTGCAAACTTTTTCTAAATGTTTAAATTCCTCATTTGTTGAGCTTCTAGCAACTTGTATGACATATGTAGTTGCGGAAGGAGAAAGCTGTCGTAACTTGAGTAAAGATTATGTAAAATTTTTAAATACTTGTTCAATTTTTTGTAAACCTTTTAAAACTCGAAAACTTCACATAATAAACTGATAAAATCAACATTTATTTTCACTGTTATGAATTTGTGACACAAATTGTGTCCTATGGATAAAAACTATTTCAGGTTTCAAAAACTGACCAACAATGGACAAACTTTCTCTTCTTGATTTTTTCAGGCGCATTGATTCGAACGAGGTTGAAGTGGAAATTCGTGGCGGTGGTGGCGAATCGGTCGTCCCGCTCTCCTCCTCCCCTGGAATGACCGGCACGACCGAGTACGACTTCACCACCGCGCTCACCGTCACCATCACCGTCGGCGTCGCTCTCATCGCGCTCAATTTGGTGGTATTCTCGGCATCATGTGTCACCGGAAGAGGGCCATCCCCACCACAACGAGGGCGACAGGGGAAGCCGTGATAGTGACGAGGTCGACGAGAGTGGGAGGAGTTCGGGGGGTGGGACACCTCAAAAGGAGGAGTCGCCCAGTATCAGCAAGCTCAGGTGAGGTTTGTTGTAATACACGATAAATAATTTGGTAATCAAATTGATAGTTTAACGAGTTAGGAACCTTGGCAAAAGGTTGTGTTACCGAACGGTGACAATAATTGTGTCAAATTTGCTAAGTTCCTTTACTTTTTTGTGGAGACAAATTTACGAATATGAATTAAGTCGATTAATTCGTTAATCAGAGGGTAGCAAATTGTTACCAAAAATACGGTATGTACTTATTCTCGATCAGATTTTTATTACCCCGAAAAGAATAGTCCACCCAGTTTGTAACGATTTGGTACCAATGATTATGCACAAAATTTAAACTGCAACCTTAATTCGAGCTTGGTAATTAAGATGCAAGTTGAATTTAGTGCCCTTTTATTATCACCACTCGGTAACATACTTGTTACCACCACCAGCAGAGCCAATCTTGGTCCCACATTATTCAGGGTACACCCATCCTTACTTAAGCAGAAGAAATTGTTGGTGTGATTTATGCCGGGGCTAAAGTGCGGGTGTCATTAAGGACGGCGGAGGAAGTGAGAGTAGGCGAAGGTCTTCGTGGCAGGAAAAGTACAATCAATTAAAGGCACATTAAAAGCGAAAAAAGAAAATGTCAGCGACTTCGATAAAGAGAGCCTTTCCTTATTTTTTGCTGGGTTTACGTTTTATTTATAGTTTCCCAACGTGGGTGGCGGGGTCACGATTACATAAGATGAGATCCTTCTATTTTTGCAGCCAATGATTTTGCTCATATAGTGATTAGGAGAAAGCATAAAGAGCAAAAGTTACTAGGTGAGAAAGTGGGTACATTTAAGAAGGAGAAAGTATTTTATGTAGTACAAATTTATAAAAAACAATAACTTCGTAAACAAAAATTACACACAATTTCACAAAAAACAGATCTTTATAAAATATGAGAAACCTAAATTTAAACAAACACTAGATTTTTTTGTAAAAATTCCAGACCAGTAATTTTCTACAATTTCTTTTAAAATAGAGTGATTAATTCCGAGAAAGTCTTGCAAGTCCCAAAAATTATGTATTACTTTCACGTTACGTCGCTCTCACTTTCTCTCCTTTCTACACGAGTCTAAAATTTCCCACATTTCAGGAAGATTACAAGTGGTCCACGGCCTGTTGTTCATCCTCGAACCACCAGCAGAACCACCCTCACCGCAGCAGGAACTTCACCCTAATGACTTTCCAACCACTCATTTATCATCCTCCTCGGTCTACATGCCCGCCGAATCCATCTCAATGTCCCAGTACACCAGCAGCACCAGCACCACTTTCACCCGGGTAACAGTGGTGGCGGGACGTTGCCTCGGTCATCGCACGGTCATCAGGGTCACCACCTCGCCTACGAGACCCACAGCGGGGATCTGGCGGGATAGTTTGTTGGCGGAAAGATGAGGAATTTTATCATCTCAGAAACCTCAAAATCCCATTACGCCTTGTTCCTCGAGCCCCTCGGCGTCCGCGACGAAACGAACACGACGAATTCCACGTCCTCAAACCCATCCCCGAACAGCGGGAGTCAATTTGGTCGGTGTTCTGAAAAGGAACATGACGCCAATGTGAACATGACGTTAAAACGAGGGTCCAGATTCAGGAGATATCATTCTGACTGCTCTGACTCTCTATCTGTACTTTTATAGCCTGAACTAAGTTCTAAATAACCGACGATAAGTACAAATATCATATTGTGATATCACCTAAATGCCTCGCTTCCCAACTAATTTTATTTACAAAACTGTTACATACATTTAGTCTTTGCATGATTAAACTCGATCTAATAAACAAATATGAAATTTATAAATTTCATATTTATATGAAATTATCTTATTTATATATTATATTTCATATTCATACTCGTGAAATTTATAAATTTATGACGTTTTCAGGAGTAAACTCGTAAAAATGAAATATACCCTGTAAAATGATTTTGGAATAAAATGACAAATCCGTCACTATTTTACCCAATTACTGGCAGTTTCTGTTTTTTAATAGAAGATTATCAAGATGGGGAAATACGTATTTCGATCAACCTACAAAAAGTTAAATCCTATTTTCTAAATAATTTCTTGTCGTGGTTTAGCACGAATTATTTTATACTGACTTTACCAATTTACCAGAAAAAAATAAATACGTACATATGTCGACCGAGTTTGATCAAGTAGGGCCACAAATGGTGCCCTTCACATCTTTAAGAGTGCAATTTCTCCACATGTGGAATTGCATTGCATGTATCGGATTAGGTTATCGTGGAAAGATTTATGAGATTGGAGCCAATAGTCGACGGAGCAATGTTCTCTCATTCATGATCTAATTTCCATTTTACTTATACCATGCAATACTTACCTACATAAGATATATAATGTCTTGCAATAAAATAAATTGATCCTCGAAAGTGCATCGTTTTTAATCATTACGAGTTAAAAATTAAGACCTGGAGAAAATTTGAAACAAATTATGTACAGGGAATTTTACCACATTTGGCAAGCTATTTTTTACAATAAGGGTAACCAACCTGAAAAATATGAGATAGAAATGCAACAAAATTGAAAATACAATAATAAGTAAAAAATTTGTGCTCGTTTTTAATATTTATAACATTTTAAATTCAAAACTGTAAACTAAAACGCCAAAAAAATATAACAACGCGTATTCTTGCCGGTTTAAAAGCTGAAATGAGGGAATCGCATGACGTAATGGTAATCTAATAAATTTAGGATTTCTAGGTGATATTATATGAAGAAATGGCTTTCTAAAAATTAGAATAAAATTGAAAAGCAATTATTACATCAAGATTACAAATCATTGCGTTATTATTATTGTGTGTCTTGATAAACATCCGGTCACGAGTTCGTCAGATCAGTAAATTTTTGTGACGCCATTTCAGTTTATCTGTTCAAAATTCACATTAATCATTCTGTTCTATTCTCTTGCAAACTTTCTCCATGTGTTAATTTTAAACTGTAATGATGGATGCATGGTGCACAACCATCAATTTTTTCATCTCATAACAAGATGTTTCTGTAAATACCACGATAAACGATATTAATGAATAAACACAATGATGTTTAAAGTTTCTTTAGTGTAAACTTTATAATTTTTTTTCTAGGCTGCAATTTCATATAAAAATCCCAAACGTATCCCTAGTTTAAAATCTAGGGATAAACAAACAGAAAACAGATAAACAAAAATTTACTGATTTGACGAACTCGTGACCGGATGTTTATCAAGACACACAATAATAATAACGCAATGATTTGTAATCTTGATGTAATAATTGCTTTTCAATTTTATATTCTAATTTTTAGAAAGCCATTTCTTCATATAATATCACCTAGAAATCCTAAATTTATTAGATTACCATTACGTCATGCGATTCCCTCATTTCAGCTTTTAAACCGGCAAGAATACGCGTTGTTATATTTTTTGGCGTTTTAGTTTGACAGTTTTGAATTTAAAATGTTATAAATATTAAAAACGAGCACAAATTTTTTACTTATTATTGTATTTTTCAATTTTGTTGCATTTCTATCTCATATTTTTCAGGTTGGTTACCCTTATTGTAAAAAATAGCTTGCCAAATGTGGTAAAATTCCCTGTACATAATTTGTTTCAAATTTTCTCCAGGTCTTAATTTTTAACTCGTAATGATTAAAAACGATGCACTTTCGAGGATCAATTTTTTATTGCAAGACATATATATCTTATGTAGGTAAGTATTGCATGGTACAAGTAAAATGGAAATTAGATCATGAATGAGAGAACATTGCTCCGTCGACTATTGGCTCCAATCTCATAAATCTTTCCACAATAATCTAATCCGATCCGTGCAATTCCACGCCTGCAGGAAGTGCACTCATAAAGATGTGGAGAGATAATTTTCTCTTGTCAAAGTCCTAGTTCGGAAAATCAGTATTAACAAATTGGTAATAAAATACGGCAAGAAATGGGAACAGATTGGTTGCCAAATCGGATTTAAATTTTGATAAGTTTTGGCGACGAAATAATTTATCAAGGAATATTCACAATTAAAATAGTAAATAGATAATATGCTGAAAGTTTCAATTTTAAGACCAAACTTGGAATTTTCGCATTCATTTCATTTAAAAGAATTTTAGCAAGTATTTTATTGAAAAACTTTAAAACTTACAAAGTGTGAAAATTGTTATTTTTTAATTAGAGTAAACAGGGACTGATGGGAAAAATATGTATTGTAAAATCATAAAAAGGTAATAATTAGAGCTCAGAAAAGATATAAGGAATTCAATTGATAAGAAGCAAGGCGAGACCGAATTTAAAATACAAAATTTGGCTACTAAATAATCTTAATTTCAATAAAGTTAAATGCATGAACTACATTTTCTACAAAACAGTGCGGACATTTAGATATCTTGTTAATAATAAAGTTTTACTGAAATGATAAACATTTACCGATTGATATTACCGCCTGATAATAAAACTAAACAAATCTGGCACTATATTTTTAAGAGTGCGAAACATATGTGGGATGCAGTGCATTTAACATATTCCAATCCAAACCACTGTGAAGCACTTTGATAATTGCTGCGGAATCTAGTCGACATCATTTGTGCTCAACTTTCACTTTAATCACTGCCTCTACGCGGAGAAAGCCCACGTTTGGGAAGATCTGCCTAACTTTAAAGTGATCACGAGGGACTTATTATTCCTATAGATGGATTCCTATAGGAGACTGGTAACATTATAAATCCGCAAATTCTGTAAACTTTTACAAAATTTCACAAAAGTTTCTAAGGAAATTATCTCACGTATTTTTGTTATCTTACCCAGGTCAAGAGTTTTTTTCATTTCGTAGAAGTTTGCAAAATTAGTTTACAAAATTTATGGATTACGAGACAAGGTGCACAGAAGTAACGTACGTGCGTAAT